CACTTGTCTGCTTGATATTGTATTGATATCGTAAGGAGAAATTCTGTCTTGGTCTCTCATAAGAGTGACTAGCAGCTGACTTCTCCTTATAATGTCACCCCATGAAGGTCACAAGAATAACAGACATGATCCCTAAGTAAAGAAGCCCTTGACTGTTCAACAAATTCTCCTAGCTAACTCCTTGGGAAATGTCTAGAAAGCAGTATGGAGAATATGCATACTGATGTTAAGGTGAAAAGGGTTTAATGCTTGAACTCAGCAGTCTAGGTTCATCTAGAAATCTCTCAGTCATAACATCTTTCAAAGAAAACACCCATCGTCTAAAATTATGTACTATTTAAATAATTCATACATCATGCAGTTATTAAATAACTTTTCAAAACAATTTGATGTCTTTCTTCACTATTCTCAGTGCCATTAAAGCTCCACCAATTCCAGCCATCAATGCTGACATGAGTACAGTCCTCTTCACAACCTGAAACAATAATAATTCAAATACGGGCACCATTTTCAGTCCACCCTGTTATCTAAACAGTCTTTGCGAGGTGTTTACTTAATTGTACCAGGGGCTACAAGATCCAATGATTACCCTGACAGACAGAATGAGATTAATTTTCAATGTAAAACCTGTTGTTTTTGAGGTGACAGACATGCAAGTGATGACTACCATCAAAGGACAACTTCCCCATGCTAATAGAACAGTCAGGCTTAACCCTTTTCCTCCGAAGACTGACGAGCTTCTAATTTCTCCTTACAATATCACCCCAGAATCACTCATTTAAGTCACAAGAATAAGAGAAATGATCAACAATGAAAGGAGCTCTTGATTGTTTAACAAATTCTCCTTGTCAGCACCTTAAGAAATATATTTAGAACAGTATGGAGAATATGCATGCTGATGTTAGGGTGTAAAGGGTTAAGGAACAAAGTTTTATTTCGGTAGTCAGCAAGAAGAATTTTGAGTCCACTCTTGAGAATGCAAAAAGAAAATTGAAAAGTTTTGTATCTGAGTACTAACCTTTTCCTGCCATTCTGATCTGTCAATGACAGTCTTGTAAGGTATCTGAGAAAATGACACCTGAAGAAGCAAAGTATTTGAGTAACAGAACAACACTTCAGAAACAGACTGCAAGGTTTTGAAAATGACTAGCCTGTAATGCAACCATCATATTAGGTAAGCTCCCAATGGTTTATCTGCCCAGCCGGCTTTGATTTTTAGTGGACAGAGCAGGAAGGGGCTAGGAAAGACCCACACCCTCCCCTCTCCTTCTTATTAACTATCACGAACCCCCCTGGTACAAAGTTCTTCCCCTTCCACTCTTCCTAGCCTTTCCCTGCTGAAAAATTCAATGATGGCAGCTATGATTTTCACCAAGAAACTATTAAGCACTAGTGAGCCAAAATAGCACCATTGCTGCAGGCTGGAGAAAGATCCATTGTGGTACTTACCATGGTATAAAGGGGAATAAATGTTTTTGGCATCAGCCAGTGGAGTAAGTTGAACAGTTTCTTCTTCATAAGGAAAACTGGAGATGTCACCAAGGATCTCATC